TTTTTTTTTTTTAACCTATTAGGAATTTACATACAGAAATAGCCCAGAATCCTAACCCAGAGCACTAGGGTGGGATTTGGGAGCCCTAGAGTCTATTTCTACCTCGGCCTCCCTTCTGTCGGGTGACCCTGGGCAAGTCTTTTGATCACACTTTTTCTCAGTTTCCCTACCTTGAAAATGGGGTTAAATACAGTTAAACTCCTTTGTAAAATGCCTTGAGATCTCCTGACTATACCTTATTCATGTATAGCACTTTTTTTTATTATATCTCTTTTGCAAACATTGGATATGTTTGCATGGCACTGCCTGCACTCTGTAGACTCCTGTGTATGAGCTAATGCATTTACAGGTAGCTTGTGGTGACCCTGCCCAGAACTGTGTTGTACCCTGTGGACACCCTTCATCACTAAGTGCTCCATGCTGCCTTTATGGTATGGATATGCAAACAATTTCTTGCACCATAAAAAGGGGGCAGGACTTTACTGTGCTTCACCTGCTCTGCAGTAGTAGCTGCTTGTGCCGGACTATACTCCATGATAAGTGGAAGTGAAAACCACAGCATGCGAAAGAGGTCAAAGTCACTCTGGCTTACCTTCTCCTTACCGCAGGTTAAGAATATGCATGCAAATAGTAGTTTCAGAGCAGTTGATGCCGAAGAGAGTCTTGCTGCCTTTTACTCATGGTAAATTATGTACAGTGTCCTTTGTTTCCTATCCTGAACTTGTGCGGTCTAGTTGATGTTGATGGACAGCTGCTGTTTTACCACAAATGTGGCTGTATTTCATATGCAACCATCACTTTACCTGCAACTGGAACTGTAAAAGTTCATATTGTACTTCTGCTTATGTTGAATACTGTTTTAGCAAGAGTCAGAGGATAGACTACTGCTAATGGAAATAAACTTCTGCGTTTGGTCTTCTGTGTTCGGGATCTGGTAGGATGTTAGATATTTAAATGGTTAGCAAATCTGAGGAAGTGAGTTAACTGCACTGCAAACTTGAGCTAAAATAATGAGGTCTAGGCTCTAAATCTAATAGCAGTTGACTGCAGTAGCGTTAATTCTGATTTACACTGTACAGTTGAGAACAGAATGGGACCCTTGATGGTTTTTGTCCTAGTGATGACCTCTGTCTTTGACAGGAAAAGTCTTCATTTTTTGTACTGTTGACATTGAATGTCAACAGCTGTAATTTGTTGTTGGTATATGTTAATGTTCAGCCTTGTCTTTTCTCACCTTTATTGCTTCAGTCATGGATTTAAGCCTGCCACCAATGTAACTTTTCACCAATTCACCTAAATCAAGTCTCAGCAGACCTGATTTTTACAGAGAAAAGAAACTCTTTTGTTTGTCATATTGTCTGACTATAAAAAGTCTCCCATCTCATGTATCTAGAATGTAACTTCTGATAGCGTCATCGCCTGCTTCAGTTTCAGTATCTCTTAAAATCCAGATGAACTGTCCAGTTCTCAAGACCGAATTAGAAAAAAATAAAGAGTGCTGTTTTTGTTTCACAAATTCTTTTCTCTCATTCATTTCATAGCAGGGGAAAAAGAAATCTTAGTCCTTACCTAGAGTAAATAGTCCTGATTTGTTGACAGTGCATGTTCTTCTGTTTGCAACATCAGTGTAAACCTGTCCAAAGAGTAATTTCTGCAGAAATCCAGTCATGTAAAAAAAGCATAGGAGCTTGCATGCAACTTCCAGCCCTTGTAGGGGAAAAAAGAATAAGACAGGAGGGTGTGGTGAGGGGGTGCACAACTTTGGACCTAGGTAGGTCCAGTCATGACCCTCAGATACAATAAAGAGCATTCACATAAGGCTTGTGAAACACAAGCCTTCAAAAGAGGACCCAAGTGGTACATAGACCTTTTTTCCTACCCTTTTGGACAGAAAGGAATCTCACACTTCAGGCAGATCAGTTGTTTAGCTCATAATTACCCAAAGTGTAGGATTCAGATTCCCAGTATGGAAACTAGCAGAGATGTTCCATTTGAAGCAGTGTTTTGGCGATGGGGTATGCCTATCCGCTGGGAATCGGATTGAGAAAACCACCTTTTCATTTGACATGGGCCCCGGATAGCCATCCGATTGCAGCATCTTTTAGTCTCTGGTGTTAAGAGCTGGAGGTAAAATTCTGGGACAGTAAAAATATTCAAAGTGCTATAGTCCTAGCATTGTTTTTAAATAGAAAATCTCAAGTTCCCTATTAATTTTATTTGTTTGTTCATTTACTTTCATGAGTACATTGCATGCAGGCATTTATTGCTGATCACCACCTTCATGCATGCTGACAGTTTTCAGGATTTTGTTTGAGCATTGCAGTCCATTAAGGTGACATAATTAGTCATTTGGTGGTGATAGGTTTAGATAGCTCTGATATGAAAGGGGTCTTTCATTTCCATATATGATTTGAAAGGCAAGGCTGAGAAAAGCAAAAATATTCCCAATATGTGACTGGTTTGTAAACATTCAGCTTCTGTTAACTTGAGTTTTCAAGATACTATAAACTTAAGTGACAAATGTAATGACAGTATGTAAATTATATTGAAAATATTGCTGTCTGTTTGCTGTATACTAAATTTAAGCTAAGTTATAAGGTGTGCTGTTTGGAAGTGTGGAAGATACAAGAGTGGAGCTACAGATAACAAGTTTATGCTTGTATTTCCTACTGATGAAGACTTTCACACAAGTTATTTCTATGGGTAGGTGATGAGAATATCACTCTGCATGTATATACATTTATTATACATTTTTTGCATGATTATACATGTAGGAGTGGTACAATTTTGACTTGAGACTGTTGATGCCTTTTGTTCAAATATAATTTGATTTGTGTAGGCGCATCTATCTAAATTTGGCTTGTACTGTTAGAAAAATTAGTAATAACTAAAACAAAAAAAAATCAAATGCCACACGAATTATTCACAGCTCCATAAATTTCAGTTCATAAATTCCTGAAAACATGGTCAAATAGTCAATATTGTACTTGACCCTCGTATCTTCTGCACTCAAGTATTTATTTTATAAACCATAAGATATTTATATCATATCACACTGAACTCTGATGATAAAAAGACTGTGAAATTATTCCCCATATTGTAAATTTTGCATGTAATCTAGGCATGTCTGTAAAATAATAAACCAAATAGCAAGCAGCTTAATCCAAAAGTTGGTAACCTTGTACTTTCTACTTGCCTTTCTTAAAAAGCAAACGATCGTCTTTCAAGTAGAGATCAGGATTTTTTCCAGTTGCAATCATCAGTGTTTCACGTTGTGAAATGTTTGCTCTTTTATACATTGACATTTAACCTACCCATTTATTTTTATGTTGTCTGTTTTAAGTTTGTAATATAACAACAGTGCTTTATTCGGGGACAGGTCAGACCTGAAATGATTTGTGAAACACCATCCTGTTAGGGTGCAAAACTGATCCTCACTGGAGTTCAAGCTCCATAGTGTCATGCTTCAATGAAGTGTGTTGCTACCTGCAAAACAATTCTTTAAAATTGTTGTATTGGATTATCCATTTGCTGAATCAAATAAAAACAAAACGGACCCTGGTGGAAACAGCTGTGCAGTGACCCAAGTTTTAAGCTTTGATTGTACAATGATTCCCACCCCCCTGGTAACAAACACTTTTTCATGTTGTACCCCTAGAAGACGCTAGTGTTTCCTGAATAAATGTTTCTTTTGGAGAAGCGCTTTTTTTATTTGTTTTATAATGTAGAAGGTTCTGTGCTACAAAATGTTAGTAGAAGCTTTCTTTGAATAACATGCTGAAAATGAAGGACCAGGTACTCCAAAGCATTATCCATTAAAACTCTAGTGGAATTAAAGTTTACAGCAATTGAGGCCTTGGCTCAGGCTATTTTAGTATTTTCACACGTCTCAAATGTATAATTGCATTAAATGAAATCCTGGACCCACTGAAGTCAATGGGACTTGTACTATAGACTCCAGTAGAGCCAGAATTTCACTCTTTCCCCTCTGCCCTCTCTTGACTCATAAATTAGAGCCATGGGGAGGAGGGGGAGGGGGAGGGAGAGCTATTTTGAATGAAAACATGGACCTCTTCCAAATGACATTCTTTATGGTTTCTCCATTTGCTTTCAAATTAACTTTTAAATTAAATTTGACCTTAGTTTTCAAAGAAAGTTGTTGCCTTCAGCACAAAAACAATCAAAATAACGTTCTTTTTTCTTGTTTATCAATAATACGATGCAAGATACTAAAAATCTATATCCCTCTTTTGGTGGGAGGAGATTCATACTGTGAAAATACCGTGTTAAAAGCATATTTGTCACTATGTATCGCTTTTATTAGAATATGACATTAGAAAGTGTATTTTCTTGTAAATTTTAATTTTGTTTTATTGCACTTAGTTATGGAAAAAAAAATACACTACAAGTTTGAAAAATTCCAGTGTCCTTGGCAGGTGAATGTTATGCATGCAGACTTGCCTAGTGTTAAACTTAACGTAGTTGAATCAGTTACATAAGAGAGAGTTTTTTTCATCCAAATCAACCCCTAAACAAGGTTAAGATGTCATTTGAATTATTTAAAGAAAAAAAAAAAGAAAGTAAAAACCTCCGTAAATATTTTCTTTTGCCAAATTTAATGTCCTGCTATTTTAGAATATTATTTCTTGCTTAAGCTGAAACGTCTTATCCTTTTAGAACTATGAGTGTAACATTGTCAAATATGGAGACTTGACTGTGCCAATGTAAAGGATAATATATGAATAACTGATAGACAATGACAAGGCAAGCTTACGTGTCTGTTTTTAGTATCTTTTTATTGTATGCAAAGCTTAAAATGTTTTTATGGTCTTAGAATATCTTCTTCCAACTGAAGCTGAATCATGGCCCTACCTGTCTCTGACAGTTCCTTGAGACCATTTAGGAGAATGCAGCCTTTCTAGAATTAGTGATTTGTGTTTTAAAATATCTTTCCCAACATGTATACATCTAACATCCGTTGCTTTTCTTTTCCTCCTCAGATGGACCTCCAGTTGTAGCTCATTATGATATATCTGACACAAACTCTGATCCAGAAGTGGTAAATGTGGACACGCTTTTGGCGGCTGCAGTAGTTCAAGAGCACAATAATTCTGTAGGAAACCAGGACACAGGACCTACCTGGAGGACTCGAGGGATGCTGGAGGAACTGAATGCTGATGCAGGTTTGTCCAAATTACCCTTCTCTGGTGCTGTGGCATGCAGGTGGTCTAACAGTGGCTATAGGATGTATGGAACAGCCATTGAAGAAACTTGAATTTAGGATGGACCTGGCTCTTATTTAGACACCAATTCTGCCAGCCTGTATTATGCTGGGTATTTTCTGGCTCCACAACTAATTCTGTTGAAATAAATAAGACTCCTAATACATGGGACAATGCAGAATGAATAAAGGTGACGGTAGCAGGCCCTCTGTATGTATCGGCAACTAATAAAAGGGCAGATGTTATACTTAAGTGTATAGTAAGATGTGACCCGCTAATATTGAGGATAACTGTAGTCTGTTTCTAATGAAAACTGAATCGCTCCCATAAATGCTCGCTTGCTTGTTTTTTAATACATTCCTGAAAGCAAAACCCAGCAAAGTTAACTTGCCTCTTCATTTGTTGGTGGCAAATAAAGTAAAGCTAGTACAGTGTAGCATGTGTGCCTCTCTTGGATGAGACGTTTTGAAAGCCAAAGACTTGAATTCTGCAATGCAGTAGGCATTTTTGCACCAGGGTCAACAGAACAAGCTAGCACATACTTAACTTTAAGCTCTTAAGTAGTCATGTCAAAGGTAATCATGATTAAATTAAGTCTGTGCTTAAGATGAGGGGCAGGAAAGGTGTTGTGTGTCTTCAGGCCACTGACCAGGAAGAGCAGCTTGCTGGTGAGTGATGATATGAAAAGAACAGAGCAGAGAGCTTGTTCTGCTCTCAGAAGGTTTGCAGACCCTCGGTTTGTTGGACCATTTGTTCAGGGAGGAAAGTTGTAGGCGCCACTGAGAGTGGGCTGAGCAGTTTTTGCCAGTTCTGTTTGCCATATGGCTGGGATACATCAACTGAAGTTTCATTTCAGAAACTTGCAAATTAAACTTCTCTAGGTTGTTTATGGTTGCAAGAAAACTTTGCAGGATGAGACTTAAATGGAGCTGATGAAGTGCCCTCTGCTTTATGGTGGAAACAGATGTCACCTTTCATTGCCTTTGTGCCATCATGAACACTTTTATGGCAGCACAAAGACCAAGGAAACAGATATCCCGGCCCCTTGCAATGTTGTAAATGCCCAAAATTTGTGGCCGTGGCAAAGATGGTATTAATTTGTACCACTATGTAGTGATGGGTGTCTGTTCACTTTATGGTGCGAGTGCCAGCAGCCTGGAGCTGCCTGCCCTCTCCAGCCACCCCAGGCAGGTGTTCTGGGAGCTTGAGGAGCTCTTTCCTGTATACCCTGGAAATTCCCACCCAGGATCAGGCCCTGGAGGCACCTGCCCAGAGTTCCCTGCTCACAGAGGTGCGCCTTGGGATCGTTGGGGTAAATTTCTGTGAGGTGAGGAAAGGCAGAGGTTCCTGGGGTCATCTCAAAGAGGGAAAAACCAGACAGATTCTCCCAGGGCTTGAGGGGTGCAATACTGCACAGGAGTTCCTGGGGCACCTAGGACTAGGCCTCTCAAGCTTCATTGCCTGTCGTCCCACCCATTGATGCTGTGGGACAACAGGTGAAATGGATTGACTGTGGTGTGGCGCATCCCAGCAGAGCTGATCTGCTTCATTTGGTGACATCTATTTCTAGCCTTAGTCTGCCTTCCTCTTTGTTCAGTGTACTGGTATCTATATTGTGACAGTTCAGTAGGGCATCCAGTTGCTATCAGGGTTTGCCGGGGAAGGTTACAAGTAATTCAGGCATTTCTTATTAAATGTAAAGTCACCATAGCCATAAAATGGAGATCCAAGGAAGACAAGTATTCCTTTCCAAGTGCCAAAAACCGTAATAGCCTCCTGTACACAACGCCAAATTTTCCTTTGTGCCAATAGCCTCAGCTGTCCCTTGTCAGCTACTGAAACCTCTGGCTTTCCCCAGACAGATTTATTGATGTCAACTTTTGTTACACTATAAGTGTGCAGCATGTTGAAATATTTAGGGCTACATAGAATAAATTGAGTCCCTTGAAAGACATGAAGTGTAGTGGACTAGAATTTAGTTGCAGGAGAACAGAGAGAGGGAAGCAGGTGCGGGGTGAATAGTATGGTACACATCCTGGCCATATTTTTAGGTCTAGCTTCTTGGGGCAGGGAGCCTTGGTTATCCTGATATTTGGAGAGCTGGGAGCTTTGGTTTTATGTGGCGATTCTAAAATGTATTTTCAAGGCAGGTGATTATAAATGGTTTCTGAATACATTCAGGGTGCAAATATTGTTCAGCTTTTTAATCAGTCACATATGAAGATGAAATGAGGGAAACCTAGAAAATGTAGAAGTGATGTTGTCTCCATTCAGGTGGAAACGGCCTCGTAATTGCATATTATTTTTCTGTATTTAAAAAACAGAAGATACTCTTGGTCTGATCTGTGCTGAGTCTGTGGGGCTTTCTTTTCTGTGACCTAATAACATTGGTGAAACCAGCACTGCATGTGCTGCCATCCCTTGGCAAGTTCTGAAGTATTCTGCAGTGTTTATCAGCTCCAGGAAAGGCAAGTCTTTGAAAATTCTCCAAATAAGTGGGAACAGCACAAGCACATACAATCTAGGTTTATCAACATAAAACTCTAGGTCAGTGACTCGCCATGAGATCCTTTGAAAGGTGCCAGGGGTTGTGAGGAGATAAGCGGATAAGTACAGACTTGGACTTGTCCTTGCATGGCTGATTGCCCACCCCCACTGGCCCCTTTACAAGGAAGTAAGCAATGCAGTGGCCAGCCAGGCAGACAACACGCTGGCATGCATCAACCGCTGCATCTCGTGTAAAACTAAGGAAGTGATACTCCTGCTGTACTCGGCACTGGTGAGACCGTAGTCGGAGTACTGTGTTCAGTTCTGGGTGCCATGCTTCAATGAGGGTGTGGAAAAACTTGAGAGGGTCCAGAGCAGAGCCACCATATGATCAGGTACTTGCAAGGAAAGCCATACGAGGAAGGGCTGAGGGACCTGGGCCTCTTTAGCCTAAAGAAGAGAAGGTTGAAAGGGGACTTGATAGCGACTTACTGCTATACCAGAGGAGTACATCAGGAGCTCGGTGAACAGCTGTTCACTAGGGCATCCCCGGTGAAGACCAGGACCAATGGATATAAACTCCTGGAATGCTGCTTGAAGCTTAATACTAGGAAAAACTCTGCGAGTCGTCAGTGTGACGAAGTCATCAGCAAAGCTAACTGCACTTCATCATGCATCAGCAGATGCATGACAAGCAGAACCAAGGAGGTGATACTTCCTTCCCCTCTATCGGGCAGTTGGAGTACTGCGTCCAGTTTTGGGCGCCACTTTGGGGGATGTGGATAACCTAGAGAGGGTCCAGAGAAGGGCCACTCGTATGGTTAAGGACTTGCAAGCCAAGCCCTATGAGGAGAGACTAGGGCACCTGGACCGCTCCAGCCTCCGCAAGAGAAGGTTGAGAGGTGACCTTGTGACTGCCTTTAAATTCTTCATGGGGGCGCAGAAGGGAATTGGTGAGGCTCTACTCACCAAGGCGCCCCTGGGGGTTACAAAAAATAATGGCCATAAGCTAGCAGTGAGCAGATTTAGATTGGACATTAGGAAGAATTTCTTCACAGTTAAGAGTGGCCAAAATCTGGAATGGGCTCCCAAGGGAGGTGGTGCTCTCCCCTACCCTGGGGGTTTTCAAGAGAAGGTTAGATAGGCATCTGGCTGTGGTCATCTGAACCCAGCACGCTTTCCTGCCTACGAAGGGTGTCGGACTCGCTGATCTATTGAGGTCCCTTCTGACCCTAACATCTCTGAATCTCTGAATCAGGACAGTTGGTGGCTTCCATGTATTCAGAGGTGTAACTGGCAAGTACTGCTCCCTGGAAAGTGTTGGTTCACGGTTCAGATCAGTGGCCAGAGCTTTATTTCTGCACAGGGGTGGCATCTTCCCCACCATGACACAGACCACCAGTTTTTGGTGCAAAAACAAAGGAGCTGATATCCCTGTGTCCTGTTCCCTGTCACCGCCCTCTCACAGCAGTGAATCTCTGGCTGCTGCTTCTCCTACACCGCCACCTCCTCCCACTCTCAGGGCCACTGCAGGGAAGGTGCAGGACTATATTTGCATCCCCCTCACCCAGGGCTCATGCGTCACTCACCAACCCATTGCTGAACTACTGAGTTTATCTAAAAGTTTGGGGCATCACTGGGTAAATGCGATTGCACTATTCTTGTTCCAAAAAACTATCTTCTCCTTCGGAGAAATGTCCCAGCCATTTGGGTATACATTCTGGGATCATATGAGAAATGGTAGGGATGATTTCTCTGGGATTTAAGTGGAAAATGACTCCTAGGAAGTTGTGGCTAAGCAAATATTTTGGGCGCTTCTGCAAGTGCTGACCTTGAACAGTAAACAAAATACCTCTTGTGCACGTCCACCTGATGCTAAGGAAAGCAAGACATTGGCAGACTAGGTATGTTACTAGACATAGAATTTGTGTGCTAGACTTGCGCTTCCTAGATGTGGTTCATCCTGTTGGACACAATCCTGACCTGTACTCTGATGGACGTGCATCTTTTTCTATTGCCTCTGCTAATCATGGTTTCACTGTTGCCAGCTCCTTTCAGGTCTTTGTGTTTGGAGTTGTTAAGCAGTGGTCTTATCTAACCCTGTTCCTTGGCACTTCCATTTCATGCTTCATAACATGCCAGACACTTCTGGCTGAAAAATTATGCATCTACAATCCAATATTTGGGATTGCTGGCAATCTGCTAACACTTTCTTAGGGATGCCCAATTGCACTTGAATGAAGAGAGTATTCAGCCTTGACTATTTACTCATTTAAAGGCAGCTCACAACTTGTCTTTTTTTCTTTATATTTTATATATTTTAAGGTGGAAGCCCCCCATATGTATCTGAGGCCAGGACTTTCCTTCCCTTTCTAACCCCATTCGCAAGTCATCCCAAAAGCAGTGACCAAGGAGGCTGGGTCAGTCTCATTAAGTATGGTGAGGTAGCCACCCAAATTCAATCATAGACATGGAAGATAGAGAAACTTTATTAAGTCATCTAATCTGTTCCCCCCCACGGAGCAGGGTTATTTCCATCGGTGTATTCTCTGGCCTTGTATTTTGTCGTGCCCACTTTTTAAAAAATTTTCAGTGGTGTGGTTTCCAACAGCCTCCCAAGATGTTATTCCACTGTCTTAATAGACTTCACTATTAGCAAGTTTTCTCTGGTGTTCATCCTAAATGTAATTCCTTCTTACTCCAAGCTTATTTACGACTTGTACCACCCTCAAGTACAAGTTTTACAAGTGCTTAGGCTTTCTTATTGGTAAAAGTTATGATGTCTTGTCCTCTTCCTGCCCTTCCTCCATTTTCCCTTTAGCTGGTGGTCAGCCAAGCTAGATATCCTGTCTGATTTATTTTTCCTTTATATACTCCTCTTTTTGAATGATACAGTTGTGTGAGCTACTTCCTTACACAATAGAAAAAGCAAGCTTTTTTTTTTTCTTCAAGGCTGTCCAACATCCTCAGATCACCACTAAGCACTTAAGAGATACAGACTTTAATTTTCCTTGGTGACTGGGAGTAGTTGATTTTTTACGGGATCTATCACCATAGTACCAACGGCTTTTTGGGTCTGATTATCTCTCTTAGGTGTTTCTGTGCGTATGTTATCTAATATCTCTAAAACAAAGCTTCACTGTAAGATTCAGTGTGTTCCATTTAGAGTTAGGGCTTTGTCTGCTGTGCATTGTTAACGTAGCGCATGGCAGGATATGTAAAACCTCACCGCTTTCTACTTATGGTCTCCTTAATGAATCCCTCAAATGAATAATCCCTGAGGGAGCCTATTAAAACAACAACTCTGCCCTACACAGATCTTTACAAAACTTATAAAAACACTTTGTTTTTTTAAATCAAATCCCCAGAAATAGCTTTGTATATTGCATGCATATTTCTAATGCATCTATTGCCCTATATTATTCAGACTGTACTTTTGAAATCTACAGGGCCATTTGTAATAAAAATATCTGAACTATTTTCATGCAAGCATGACTCCAGTAAAAACTACTACTGCATGTTTAGCATCAGGTTTCCTCTTAAATGCCTTTTAAAATAAATTAATTGCTAATAACAAGTTCTGTAACAGTTAAAATCTTCATTATCCCCATGGAAGATGGAGGTAGGTGGTAGCCATTATAAGTGTGTCTGCATCTCTACTCTCACGGACCCAGAGGGACAGATTTCCAGCTTCAGCTTCCTCTGTGCAAAAATGAAGTTGATTTCCTAGATATGGGGACTTTACTATCTTTAACTTTCCCTGAGCCTGATGAAGGGTGTGAGAGCCTGAAAGCTTGCAGAAAAAGATGTATCCTTTTGCAATTTCTCAGCTGGTCTAATGCAAGGTATCATCTCTGAACCAAGAGTTCTAGAGTTTTGCATTCCGCATCTCCTACACATTTATGTTAGGTCACCTCTGTGGATAATAGTTCAGTTTTCATGTCTCTTTCTTTGATAAGACTTATAAAGGTCAAATATGGCGATTTGTTTTCATTAGGAAGACCCCTGTGTCCTCGGAATAGCGATTTGAAATGACCAACTTTTCCTAAACCATCAGACAGTCTTATATGGAATGAGTCCTGGTTTCTGCTGAGTATGGCTGGTTTTGTAGCGACAGCTTAAAGATGGCAGAATGTGGTCGAGTGGCTAGAAGAAAGTTTTCAGCACAAAACTGCCTGTTTTGTTGGTTAGGTACCCCAGGTTAGGTGTTTAGCTTAGCTGACCACCAGCTAAGGGGGAAATGGAAGAGGAGGAGGAAGGGGCAGCTAAGCTAAACACCTAATCTGGGGCATCTAACTGTACTGTTTAGAAAACCCCTAAGCCCTTGGAGAACTGGTTATACCTTAGGGTGGTTCAAACAGGCAGGACAGACTACTAGTCCTAGAGAAGGCTCCTCCCCAGCTGGGCAGTGGAGTGGAGATGTGGGGTGAAATCCTAGGAGAGAGTTTGAGTCCTAGCCAAGACAGCTTCCCTGCTGGGAGGCACTGACAGTCAGAAACTTTCCCTCCTTTAGAATAAGGTACAGTTTGGCCTGGATGTAGCTTGTCTCCAGGTAGTAAAGGGGTAAGTTTATTTGTAATGTATTACAGGCAAAGAACCTAATTCTTTTAGGGATGGGAAGCTTTTGATACACTAATATTAGCTATTATTTATGGTTATGTGACAACTTCATTGCCTAAACCAGGACATCCAACTGGTGGCCTTTGGGCTGAATGTAGCCCCCAAGGGGTTAATTTACAGGCCCTGGGCTCCCTCTGTACCCCGATTGCCCTGGCTGCAGTAGGTTGGGGTGGGGGTGGGGAAGCCCGCACTGCCTGTGTACAGTGCAGTGGTGGGGGATACCCCTGAGGGTGACACTTGGCTCACACTGGTCCCTGTACTAGGAGAAGTTAGCCCTGGCCAAAACCATTAAAAACCCCATTGGACAAATCCTGTGTATATCCAATATCAAAGCTATCCTGCTTTAGCAGAGAACAGCACAAGCTGATCTAACTTGTCTTTCCAGTCTTAGGTACTTTGATTTGTGCTTAGCTTGAGGAGAAATATTTTTCCCCAATGGATTTGCAAGTTGTGAAGGATGTTAAAATTCTGGGTCTGTTTGTATTTTCCTTCTGTACAGGCCACTTGGATCCAGGATTCCTAGCAAGCGAAAAGACCACTTGTGGCAATGCCCAGATCAATGAAGAAATTAATATTGCCTCTTCTGATAGTGAAGTGGAGATTGTGGGAGTTCAGGAACATGCAAGGTACTCGTTTTTTTTTTTTCCTTTTGATGTGGAGTCCTTTATTTTATCATAGGACTTGAACAGGCAAAATAAACGAGGAAGGAAAATGCAGGCTGAATTGTAGTGTTACAGCTCTTCAACTATGACACATGCCAGAAGTCCAAAAGATATATGCTGTTCTTGTGCTTTGCCCATCACTTCAGTATCGAAGTGCCTACTTTCTTTAGTCTGGTAATGTTTCCACATTAAGTGTTTGGTTTGATATCAGATACACTAATAGGCTAAGTATTGCTGCTACTGGAATCACTTGCTTAATTCATCTCTGTGCATATGAAAACATTAATAGGCTAGAAAATGTTTTGTGTTTTTAAGGGCTTCCTGTGTGCAAGTATGTATGCGTGTTTTTACAGTTGGTTCCCTTTAAACAGTGTATATTAAGAGTTTTCAGGATAGTTGATTTCATTCCTTATTTTAAGAAGGAGGAAGGCTGTATACACTGTAACAGTTAATGTTGTAAATGTAAGGAAGCCTGCTGGATTTTAAATTTGCCTATCACTTATGGATGTTAATTTTATTTGAAGATGCAGGCCAGTCCCACCGGGAGATCAGAGTTTAGGATCATAAGATTCCTCAGATGGCCTCGCTTCCATGTTTGAATTTAAGCTTCACTTATCCCTTTCCTTTTGATGCTTCCTTTCACCGTTTAGTTGGTTCATGATGCCATAAGCCTGTTAAGATTGGGGCATAGACATGCCTTTTTTCAGCCCATGGAGCTGAATTGGTAAAACACAATTGAGGTTGTGCAGGGAATCAGTTAGGCAGGCCAAGGCAGGACTGGAGCTTAGGTTGGCTACAACAATGAAGGACAATAAAAAGTCCTTCTACAGATACATAGCCAGCAAAAGGAAGGCGTGGAGTAACATAGGGTCCCTGCAGGACAAATCAGGACAGTTGGTGATGGACACAAGGAAAAAGGCGCAGAGCTCTTCCATGAGTTCTTTGCTTCAGTATTCCTAAGTACTGATCAAGACAATCCCCGCATCTTGAGCATAGACAGATGGCCAAAGGCACCAGACTGCCAACGGTTAGTGCTGACTTAGTTAAGGAGCTCTTGGAGGGGCTGGATGGGTACAAGTCAGCCAGCCCGGATGACCTCCATCCACAGGTGCTGAAGGAATTGGCCAGTGTCATAGCTGAGCCACTGGCACGGTTGTTTGGGCATTCATGGTGCTCTGGCCAGGTCCCTGAGGATTGGAAAAGGGCCAGTGTGGTCCCCATTTTTCAAGAAGGGGACACGGGATGCGTTGGGTAACTTTAGGCCAGTCAGTCTTGCCTCTGTCCTTGGGAAAATACTGGAAAAATCATCAAAGAGCACATTTGTGAAGGCCCAGCAGAGGAAACGATGCTGAAAGGAAACCAGCATGGGTTCATCACAGGTAGATCCTGCCTGACCAACCTTATAGCCTTTTATGACCAGGTCGCACGCTGCCTTGATCAGGAGCTGAGCCTGATGTCATCTACCTGGACTTTAAGAAGGGGTGTAGGTCGAAGCCATGTTGGTCTAAGGACATAGGCAGACAAGGTTCGTCAGGCTAAGGAAGTTTCAGCAGTTGGTGCGTGCTCTTTCTGGATGGAATGAAAAGTAAAGACTTTTTTTTTTTGACTTTTCTTTGCTTTTCTTTCCATCTAGAAAGAGCACGCACCAACTGCTGAAACTTCCTTAGCCTGACGAAGGGTTTTTGAACCCGAAAGCTTGCTTAATAATTGTTTTCCAACTATTTAAGTTGGTCTAATAAAAGATATCAGATTCACCCAAAGAACCTTGTCTGCCTATGGACTTTAAGAAGGCCTTTGATACAGTTTTGCATCCTATTCTCATAAGAATATAGGAATAGGAGCACCCTCTCCAAGTTCATAGATGATACCAAGTTATGGGGCAAAGTTAACACACCGGAGGGCAGGGAGCAGATACAAGTCGATCTGGACAGGTTGGATTAATGGGCAGAACAAAATAGGATGCAATTCAACAAAGATAAATGTAGGGTACTCCACCTAGGGAGGAAGAATCCTCAGCACGCCTATAGGTTGGGGGATGACCTCCTCAGCGGCTGAGAGGGATCTTAGAGTCATAGTTGATTCCAAGATGAACATGAGCCGGCAGTGTAACGAGGCTGTCAACAAAGCCAGTCGCACCTTGTCGTGTATTAGCAGATGCATGACCAACTGATCGAGGGAGGTGATGCTCCCACTCTATGCAGCACTGGTCAGGCTGCATTTGGAGTACTTTGTCCAGTTCTGGGCGCCGCACTTCAAGAGGGACACGGAGAATCTGGAGAGGGTTGCATGATTAGTGGCCTCCATGAAAGACCCTGTGAAGGGAGGTTGAGGGATCTGGATCTCTTCAGCCTCCACAAGAGACGTCTGAGGGGAGACCTTGTAGCCGCCTATACGTTTATCAAGGGACGACGACAGGGAAGTGGAGATGCTCTATTTACCAGAGCACCCCTAGGAGTAACTAGGAATAATGGGTGCAAACTAGTGGAGAGTAGATTCAGGTTGGACATTAGGAAGATATTTTTTACAGTGAGGGTGGCCAGAGTCTGGAACGGGATGCCAAGAGAGGTGGTACTGTCACCTAACTTTGAGGTCTTCAAGAGGAGGCTTGATAGACACCTAGCTGGGGCCGTTTGACCTTGGTTCGCTTTCCTGCCCGGGGCAGGGGGTCAGACACGATGATCCTTTGTGGTCCCTTCCAACTCTACAGTCTATGAATTATGTACACAAAGTGCTGCCTGGAACATGCATGGGCAGCCTGTGGCCGGGGTGGGGTGGGGTGGGGTGGGCAGGGATGCGTCGTGGCAGGGGTAACATAACCAGAGCTCTGTACCCTGTGTACTCTTTCACAGGGCTGGGAACGAAGTATCCAATGTGCAGCATCCACGTTGTGTCCTTTATGGTCTTGGACCAACAACGTAGCCCTGTGGCATTTGGGGTGGGGAGGAATATAAGAATGACAGAGTCTTATGGCGTGTTGAGAAACCTTTTGGGGTCTGTCCTGGTTGGGAATAGATGAATTCTGTAGGCACTGTCCCAGTTGAATTTCATCCGGTACATTTACTCCATGTGAAAACTTGCTTGTAGTAGAGGACTTGTCAATGCCATTTACTAGTTTGCATCCGTATTGGTAAATGCCATTGAGACAAAACAGTGCGAGGATTCCTGTCTTGATTCAATACGCAGTTACTAGTGAAGGCTACATTTAGTGGGCATCGGGTTGTTCATGCAGGGGTGCAATTCCAGGCTCTTCAACAATAGAGACTGGTTAGAAACTCATTTCACACTTCTTTTTTACTTGAGTCATCTTCGGCTGCATTTTTCTTTGTGCTCGCCACCATTCTGCCATGTCTGGGGAGACCGTATCTCATCGGTTCCTTTTGAAAGTTGCATCTTGTGGTTGTTTGCATCCTATTTAGAATTTTATTTCTCTTTCAGGTCTAGGCTTGCAGTTACGAAGTATTGATGGGCTTCTGGCAGGGTTGTCGTTTTGTAAAGGTTTTAGGTTTTTGATCAGTACTTTCTGCATGCTTCTTGAGAGATTTGGATTCAGTTCTGTTGCTTACACTGTTTATTTTTTACGTGCTCCATCTTCCATATTGTTGCTGAATTGGTGTGGGATATTAAACTCTTGAGTTTGTCTCTTTCATTTGTCATTTTCCAGATTCTTAGTGAGTTGGTGGTGATTTTCATCATTCAAAACTATTGGGCATTTCCTAGAACACAGCCCTTTTGATGGTCATGTGCTGTTTTTATTGAGTTTTGTTTAATTTTGTTTAATAGATTTCTTTTCATGCATGTATGTAAAACAGTCTTCCATTGTTTCTCCCTGTTTTGGTTTTGTTGCCTTTTACTTGAAGATGTCTCTGGCTTAGCCACGGGTTGGAAAGCATGTTTCTTGAGCTATGTTTGATTGAACCTTTTGCTCTTGGCTGCTTTGTGTGAATTGTTCAAGGGTGTGACTTTTTTTTGTTTTGGTCAAGTATCGTTTCCATGCAGCATTTCATAGACAGGTTTTTGTCATCTTCAGGGGGAGAAGATACTTTGGGGTTTTAGGTGCCTAAGAAGCTGTTGTTTTACACCGGGATGCTGCATTGTAATGGTGATCCTAGGGACATGTTCCAGTATCATACAATACATTTTCTTTGGCCACTGTGTTATGACTAAAAGCATTTAAAAGAAATCCTGAATACTGGATATGAACTCAAACCTTCCACTGCATACAGGGAGCCTCTGACAGATATTGTTGGTCCCCAAAATACATGAGGAAAGCAAGAGCTTGAGAAGCCATCCTGAACTTTTATATAGCTAAATAGCATATTAAAAGAAGAATAGGGTAGATGAATGCTGCGTTCTGATCTTTTAAGGAGTGGTAAAGGAAATTTGATTTCTCTTTAAAATTATTTTGAGCAAAGGAAGATTGTCACCAAACAGAATTAGAAAAATCTCAACCTCCCCCCCCCCTTAGAGAAGAGTGGGAAATGTAACCTGAGCTGTTGTGAGAATTTTTTTCCAAACTGCATCATTTAAAATTGAAAACATGCACGCATGCATATATGCATGTCTGTACACACACGTTGTAATAAACAGCAGGATGGGATAAAGGTTTTACTAGCATTTATTTAAGAACACTGCCAGTGAATGATGTGACAATCCTAAAAGAGTGCCAATCGCATATCATCCGTTTTCTAGTTTATCTTCCTAATTATGAGCACTTCTCATGACACATACCCATATGCACTATAACAGCGAGAAGTAAGATGCAAATTAGCATAATTTAAGTGTGATTTAAAGTGTTCAAGCATGTATTTAACTTTAAACGTGATGAAGTCTCATTTACTCGAATGATTACAAGCATAAGTGATTTGCTGAATTAGGACCTTAGGTTTGTTCAGTACAGTAAACTGGTATTCGCCCAGATTTTGGCAATCTTGAATTAAGTCAAACAAAGGGAATGGCTTTATTTTTAAAATATATATACAATACACAGTTAGTTGTCATCTGGAATAATGGTAATATATGTAATATAAAGATAATTATGTCCTCTGTTAATAGGAACCTGTTTTCATAAATGGAAACGTTCTTTCTTTTTCTTGTCATGGTTTGCACCATAGAAAAAGTCCTTTGAAGTCCAGGGCCAACCCCCAGGCTGGACTTTCCAGCAGACAAACTGTTTCTTCGCCCCAAGACTGGGTAGGTTTCCGACTAGATCATGATGCCACATGCTGTTGGGCAGATTATCTCCTGTAATGGGCATGCATGGTTCCCAGTGACTTCATCAGGGCCTCACTCATATCCACTGGCAGAAGCTATTTATTTTTTGGTCTCCAGGTCAAGGGCTTTCAGGTCAGCATGTGTTGAAAACCTGTAGCAAGTCCTGTGAGCGAGCTCACAAATGGAAAAGGTCGTGAGCAAATTTTGGAGAGAGATGTATGTTAATTATGTGTAAATTAACCCCTTGAAACATTGCAGCTGAGATTTGCGTGGAACACTGATAGTAGTGCTAATATTTGTGCTCTTTGCTTTACTACAGGTGTGTACACCCTCGGGGAGGGGTGATTCAGAGTGTGTCTTCCTGGAAGCATGGCTCAGGCTCGCAGTACATTAGCACTCGACAAACACAATCATGGACAGCTGTGACCCCCCAGCAGAATTGGTCTTCACCCCCAGAAGTAGTTGATCTCACATTGGATGAGGACACCAGGCGCAAATATCTACTGTAATGCAATGTCACTGTGTTTTTGCCCCTGCCCTTCCCCTTTGTGGCCCAGAAGTTCATTGTTATAGCTTCAGCTTCAGAAGCCTTGTTCCTGGCGTTAGGAATCCAAACTCATGGAGAAGTTGGTTTTCCATAAGAATGCAGTGTAATTTTAATATCACTTACCTTCTCAAAGGAAGATTTTTCCCAGTATGAAAACTTGGTAGCACTGAATTTAAATGACAACTACAGATATGCATAATGTGTGCGTGTGAATCTGAAGAAATAATTGTGTATACAGTTGCGGCCTCCCACCCTCTCCCATCTCTGACATCAGAATTATTTAAATTTATCAATACATTGATTTTGTTAGTAGAAGTTAGTGGTTTTGCTGTGTGAGCATCAGTAAGTTTAAGCGGTGCTGGGGCCCTGTTAACTTCACTGGAACTGCAGGTGCTCAGCATTTCTGAAAATAGGGCCAAGAGTATTTTATATCCAGGCTGATTTGGTCATTTGATACAAAAGGCCCTTGACATGTGCACTGAAACAGCTTTTTAATTAAAAGGGGTTTTTATTTTCTATGTAATTTATAGTTTACATGCTAGTCAGTGCTTCTAGTCTTCTGTCTACCTGACTGCTGTGCTTTACTGGTCATTTCATGCCTCTTGTGTTTTTTTTTAATAGTGACTTCAGAGCAGCTGATCATCGCAAAGTATAAGAAAGTAGAGCATCATAAAAAGGCTGAGCCCTCCACGCCCGTTTTTAAAATAGCTGTATACCTGGCATTTTAAGATCTTGTTTTTTAACTCCATCTCCCAGTTCTCCTCTTTCTGGAACGTTTTCTCATGCTTCTCTCTCGTTTCCTTTCCCTTTCTTCAAATCCTGTAAGGCCCCATTCCAGCCAAGTACTTCACCAGATGTGTAACTTGAAGCCCTGAAGTAACCCCCCTTGGAGTCAGCGGGCTGCTCAGATGTGTGAAACTGTGGCTGATACTAAAGTATTTTGCAGGACCGAGGCCAAAAGTTGTCATCCTTTGTTCTGGGCAGAAGTTGTCAGCCTTTGTTCTAAGCAGTTCTGCCCTGGTCTCCTAACCCCTGGGCCAAGCCTCAAGATAGTTTTTGAATCTCCCTTCAGGGTCTCATCCTGGAAACACTTGCTTTTAGAGTGTGGAGCTTACTACAGCAAAAAAAAAAAAAAAAAAAATGGATAGCTCGTTCTTCAGCTGTAGTCCTTGTAGTGAGCATTGGCATTTCTGGCCCTTAATCTGTTACAGTGACTCTTGTTCAAGGCAAAAACCAAAGACTAAAAACAAGAAGGTATCCACTTTAAACATCGCCTGTGCAATTAAAATGTATCATTTTCTGATCAAAATACTTTAAATGCATTTTTTACAATGCAGACATGAGGGTTTTTACCACCTAGGGGTTAAACCATATGATAGATGGGACAACTTGCATCCTATTTTAGTTTAGTATTAGTTTGGGCAGCACACAATTTGCTTGGCTTGCAAAAATCTGCATATTTGACAAGTGTTCTTTTTGGTGGCACAGATTTCTTTCTTTTTTTTTGTTTGTGTTGTTTTTTTTTTTTTTTTTTAATCGATCAAATATATTTAATAACAATGTTTCTTTGCTTCAAAAAGTGGAAAAGTTATGATTGCACTTTAAAGAATACCTTGGTAACAAATTTGTGTTCTGGCCTACAGGTTTCTAAAACAATTATACTGTGATCAGTGTATTGCATGCCCATAACCTGAAGTACTTGGTACTTCTCCTCACTTGTGTCTTTGTTTGGGGCTGGGAGGGAGTGGAGCGAATGTGATCCCTACTCATTGCAATAGAGAGAAGTCTGTAATCCTGGCACACTGTAGTAATAGTGGCTATTGATCTTTTTATGCTAACTTGCTAATTGCATAACTCTTCCATCATTTTAGCAAACTGGCACCCTAAGGTAAATTAACTTGGAAAGTTGATTTAGTGTGGCTGCTTTTTACTGTTTCATGAAGTTGTCTTTTAAAGCTCGGTTTCTAAGAAAGCTGCAGGGACCTATTCATAGTCCTTCCATTAAAAAAAAATGCAAACTAATTCTGTTTTCAGTTTGTATATGATGTGACTTCCATGTGTATATAAAAATGACTGCGTCCTAACTAAACTTCCTCCAATTGTGCACTGTGTTTGTTTAAACAAATCACGTATTTTAGCCTGATGCCGGTTTTCTTTTATTTAAGACACTACATATTTCTTTGACTCTTTTAACAAATTTTAAAGGGTATTGATCTGAAAACCACAATCACTGGATAGCTAAGACCTGTTTCTTTTTTGTTTTTTTTGGGGGTGGGGGAGGGATGGGATTTTTTTTAGGGGGAGCAAGTTGTGCCTCGACATTTTTTTGCTCCTCTCAACAGGAAAGTGAAATATTAGCCATTGTATGGCTAAGAACCAATGCACTTGGGGCCTGATCCAAAACCCATTGAAGTCAATGGTGAGCTTTTCCATTCATTTCAGTGTGCATTGGCTCAAGCCTTTTATGGTT